CTAGTGTTGTGGTTCTAGAGAGAGCACGGACACGACCACAACTGCATGCCAGCCCATCAGAAAAATCTCTCTTTAAAGGATGTCTCCTTTAGAGATTTCTGAGTCACCCTAGGAATCCCTGGGTCCTGCCTCCCGAGCGTCCACACAACCATGGCTTGCACATGTGGAGCCATACCTAGAGTGCCATGGGTTTCCAAGAAGCCTATTAAGGGGAGAAGAGAAAAGTTCTGCCTTTCTTAGCTTGCCACATATTCCAATGCTCCCTGCTGACGCTTTCTTCCACAAACTTCTTGTCTGTCTTTTTACCTTTTTTTTTTCTCTGCTTCACTTTGCCTAGGGCTAAACCTGCTGACTGCCTCCATTAGCATTTGAATTGACCTCTAGCTGATTCTGCTGGTTAGAATGCTTAAGAAAGGGATTTCTAACTAGAAATTGATCTGCCTTAGTTTACCAGGATCTTCTCACTAGTGGACTCTCCTCCCATAGTGGACGGTGACGCAAGACAGACAAAGGAGGGGTGCCTCTTTGCAGAGACCATTCAGATGCTTGCCTGGCCGGAGGAGAACTTAGCCTTAGTGGTTCAGCGTTGTGACTTGCGACCGGTAGCTATACCAGTGCCACCATTGACCGTATGTTCTCCGTGGAGTCGCAGGCAGCCCACTCGAGCTCCGTGACTTTAGAGGGACTTTAAGAGTGCCAGGTCGTGGAGCTACAAAATCACGCCCGATAGGAGGACCTTATCAGGGTGCTCAGACACACACACATTCACACAGAGGTTATCACATTCCTCCCCCAGTCCCCCTAGAGATTTCCAAGGGAGCATACCTTCACAGCAGATCTTCCACAGATTGCCTCCTTTATCCGAGCCACAAGGTTTGGAGAGAAGGAACCTCCTGGGGGCCAATCCACACCAAAGGAAGGCCATTCTGATGAACAATAATTGGCAAACTTACCCTTCTTGATCATCAAGCCCAGATTCTGAGCTTTCCTGTGGATCTCAGAGAAGTGATCAAGAATTAAAGCTTTGGGGGTCGATTGATTCTGACCCATATTAAACAATCTCAATAAACAGAATTAAGAGAAGGATAATAAGACAAATACACACACTAAGGACACACGCACAGATCACACTCCTGCACTCGCTCGGACCGGTCCACTCTCTCACACAGGTGCGCACCACACTCACCAGTCACCCTGGGACTCCCGAATATGCCCAAAGGGCGTGCACGTGATTTTCACCTCCGGAGGGTTCAGCTCTTCCAGGTCTTCTCCCGGCGCCGGATTTTCCAGAACAGATGAGGCCTCCAGAACAGACAGACGAGGACCCGAGGAAACCCTATGTCCCCCCAAGTCCTCCCAGTCAGGGTTGGCCACTTCCCTGCCGCGGTCCAGAACAGACGAGGCCTCCAGAACAGACAGACGAGGACCCGAGGAAACCCTATGTCCCCCCAAGTCCTCACAGGGTTAGCTACTTCCCTGCCGCGGTCCAGAAGGGGACACTGTCCCCCCACAGAACAGACGGAATATTCCCCAGAAATTTTTTTTTTTAAGGCCTTTTCAAAACCCGCTCTCTGGGCCCGTTTGCCGTCGGGAGATCTCGCTGGGGCCTCCAAATGTTAGGGCGCAGATCGTGATCTCCCTTTAACGACAAAGAGACTCCAGAGACTGCAAACAGCAAGCAAGGTTTATTGTAAGACTGGCTAGCCAGGGTCAAGCCGCCTACACAGACACGCAGGTCAGTTAGGTGAGGCAAGACCCCGAACTTCTTCAAAGGGGATCTTATATAGGCCTTCACTGGCCGTTACAGCAAAGCCCGCGCATTTCATAGCCAATAGATTTGTAACAACATATGCTTTCTTAACCAATCCATGTAGAAGTACATCACTTCTTAGCCTATAGATTCAAAGATCAGCATTTACGTACATAGGCATTGTGACTAGTGGGCATCAGGTAACTTGGACATTTGGTTATCACCTTGCTTCCTCTGATTCTCAGCCCTGCATTCCGGAGGTGGATAAGGGAAGAGTTCTTAAGGGAGGTAACAGATAAGGAGGGCAGGAAAGGGAGAGTTACTAATTTATAGAGTTTTAACTCTGGAATCTCCCTCAGGGTCCCTAGGGACCTAACAAACAGGGGAAGTCTTTCCTTTTCCTGGTGTCCTCTACTTTTCTTTGCATTGATTTATAATTTTCACTTTATCAGTCTTTCACCTCCTTTGTTAAGTTGATTTCTAGGCATTTGATGTTTTGAAGGGGATAGTTTTTTTAATTTATTTTTTTTCTAGTTCATTATTTATGTGCAGAAATGCTTCTAGTGGAAGCTACCATAAAGCAATACCTTACTTATCCATTTAAATTTAGGGGAAAGAAAGACTGATAAGACTGTAATTAAAACTTAGTCAAGACTTACTTTAATAACAGTATAAATAATAGGGAGATTAGCAATATAGTTCAAAAGAAGTTGGTTGCAATGATATGCTATTCTTAAAAAATTAATTCTCTAACTTAGAGTTTTAAAGAAGAATGCCAAGCTCTACTTTGAAGAATGTATTGTTTACTTGTAAATGGACCTGGCCTTGAAGCTAAATGGAAGAGGTCCTCTTTAAAATACTAGCACTTGGAAGTCTGACTCCCTTGTAGTTTTCATTAAAGTTAGGGTATTAATTTACCACAGTTTTCTCAAACCAACAGTACATTTGTGACCTGAATTCTCAGGAAAATTTTAGATGCCAGTGAAAGAAAACTTTTAAGCTGTGAGAGTTTGTAAAGACTCAAAAACATTTTGATTTAATTTAATGATTTTGTATAGAGATACAAATGTTGCTGAAGTAACACCTCTATCTGTAAAATAGTCTGATTTCTTACTCAAATTGGTTTTTTTTGGCCTGGGGATAGTGGTTTGCATCATTTTTGTTGAGCTTATTTATCCCACTGTGGCTTTTGAGCTTCAGTTTCACAGCCCTTTTCAAACAGTGTAGATTCTGAAGCCGAAGAATTTCAAGTGTTTGAAATGTTTCATTTTTCCAAATAAGAAATTAGATCGAGAAGCTCAATTTCTTTATAGGTTTACTGGCCAGTTTAGAGAACTTTGAGTTTATTTGTGGTCTAACAAGGTCACAGTAGATAGATAAATCTTAGACATTGAAGATTGTTGTGTTCCATATTGCTCACCTGTAGTGATGATGTAGCTTGTTCTGTTTGCTGACTGGCTAGCTCAGTTCTAGACCTGAGAACATCTTCTGATTTCAACCTGCTTTGGCATTCCAGTGTTCCACACAGTGACAGACACTGGGTGGCTGCCTGCGCTGCCCATCCTCCCCCACTCCCCCAGGGACCATTATTGTTCTGCTTCAGCTGTTTTTCTGACTCATCCAAAGTTGCTGGGAGACTGCTGATGTGGGGCTGAAAGAAGATAGGACAGTCCCCAGGGCAAAAGTAGCCCTCTTGGCCATTTGGGACTTAGACCCATATTCACCAGGTCTCACGGGAGACTGTTCCCAGCCTGTTTTACTTGGAAATGGATTAAGAAATACCTTTAGTGATATGAAGTCAGCAAGTTAAATTATGGTTAAGTTGTTGTAAATTGAGGACGGTGAGATACTACCATTTTCTGCTCTCCTTCTGGGGGAGGGCATTAACATTTCCTTAGTAGACTCAGAGTTGAATTTGGACAGCTGGGAGACTGACCCAGTGGCTGCTGCCAGAGGGATGGAAACAAACAGTCCTTTAACTCAGGATGGTAAGTTTCAATCCCTAGGGATGACAGCCTGGTGAAGGTCAAATTACTTCGTTCAGTTTTCTCAAATCAGTCAGCATTCTAAAGTATTTTTGTGTATTAATTTTGTAACCTGGGGCTGGAGCGATAGCACAGTGGTAGGGTGTTTGCCTTGCACTCAGCCAACATGGCCGACCCGAGTTTGATTCCTCCGCCCCTCTCGGAGAGCCCGGCAAGCTACCGAGAGTATCTCGCCAAGAGTATCTCGCCCGCATGGCAAAGCCTGGCAAGCCACCCGTGATGTATTCGTATGCCAGACACAGTAACAACAAGTCTCATGATGGTGATGTTACTGGGCCCGCTCGAGCAAATCGACGAACAACGGGAGGACAGTGACAGTGAATTTTGTAACCTAACTTACCGTATCAGTTCATTATTTTTAGAAATATTTTTTGCTGGTCTTTAGGGTTTTCAGTGTATAGTATCATGTCCAGTATCTGTTTTTTGCAGTAGGGGTGGGGGAATGGACAATACCTGGCGGTGCTTGGGGCTTACCTGGCCCTTTGCTGAGAGATCACTCCTGTTGGAACTCAGGATCCTCATGTGGTGCTAGGGGCTGAACTCGGGTGGAACATAAGCAAGGCAGTGCTCTGCCTGATACCATCATTCTACTCCTGAGTGTGTGTGTGTGTGTTGTGTGTGTGTGTTGTGTGTGTGTAGTTTGTTTGTTTGATTGTTTTGGGGCCACATTCATCAGTACTCAGGGCTTTCTCCTGGCTCTGTGCTCAGAAATCATTCCTGGCAGTGCTAGCGGGGAGCATATGGATTGCCAGGAATCAAACTTGGGTCAGTTGCATGCAAGCAAAGTACCTCTACCTTCTGTAGTAGTGTTATTGTTTGTATCTATACTTAAAAAAAATTCCAAAATGATTTGAAATAAGAACTGCCTAATTATTACTTTTGGAGGGGTTATTACATACTTTAAAAAATTATTTTATTTATTGGGTTTTTGGTCACATCCAGCAATGCTCAGGGCTTACTCCTGGCGCAGTGCTCATGAATCATGCCTGGTAGTGCTCAGGTTACCAAACAGGATGCTGGGGATTGAACCTGGGTCAGCTGCATGCAAGACAATTGCCTTGCCCACTGTTCTATCTCTTCAGCGCCAGTTGTTAAACTTTTATCTTTAATTTTAGAAAATGTTATGTTACACAGTAATCAAGTTATTCCTTCCGTTTCGTCTTGCTTCGTAATAAGAACCATTCTTTTGGATGATTTTTCTTTAGTGGCATACAGAAGAGATGAAATGTGGACTGAAGAACGATACGACTATGAAAGAGTTCCAAGAGAACGAGTACCTCCTCGAAGTCACCCCAGTGTAAGTTGCTTCTACAGCTAGAATAGTTCAAAATCTGGTGTTTATGTAAATTTGGTACATCAAAATCTAGATCTCTTGACAAAAATTTCAGGTGCCAAAAACTTACTAGTGTAGATCAAAATGTAAATAGATAAAATATCTTTTTAAAAGTTAAAAGTATGGAAATAAGAGGCAATATTCTGTTTACATAGAAAAATCTATGTGCTTCTTTTAAACATGAAGGTTTTTTAACTGTCTTCAATTTGTAAGAAAATTTTAAATTTAATTAAAGTCAGAATGTTAACAAAGAAGTATTTGACCACCTGATTGTGCTGTTTGTTGGGTGTCTCCTATTTTTCATGTTCCTAAAATTGTTTGCAAGTTGCATATATGAAGTTTCAAACCTGAGACAGCTGAGGGAGAGCAGCACTTTGTGGCATCCTGTCTTACTGCTTGTCTCTTTGTTGCTCTCTTTTTGTTTGGAGTTTTTTTTTTTTTAATTTTTATTAGTGAAACACCATGAGGTATAGTTGTAGACTTACAAATTTTTGTGCTTGGGTTTCAGTTATACAGTGACCGAATACCCATTCCTCCACCAGTGCCCATTTTCCACCAGCAATGATCCCAGTGTCCCTCCCACCCCCACCCCTCCCATCCTACCCTGCCTCAGTGGCCGGGCATTCCCCCTTGTTCTCTCTCTCATTTTGTGTGCTGTGGTTTGCAAAAGAGGCATTGAATGGGAATCATGCTTGGTCTATAGTCTACTCTCAGCATGCGTCTCCCATGCTGGGAGGATCCTCCCAACACCCTTTATTTGGTGCTCACTTCTCTATCTGAACTGCCTTTTCCCCTAGCGTGTGCGGCTGGCCTCCAAGCCATGGAGTAAACCTCCTAATACTTACCTCGGCTATTCTTGGGTGTTAGTCTCCTATTTTGTTACTTTATGTTCTCCAGATAAATGCAATCTTTCTATGTCTATCCCTCTCTGACTCATTTTGCTTAGCATGATACTTTCCATGTAGTACCACTTGTATGTAAATTTCGTGACTTCATCTTTTCTAACAGCTACATTGTAGCAGTTTTTCATTTTAAATAATTTTAGATTACCCAGTTGTAAACTGTATTCTATAACAAATGACAACTCTGAAGATGACAGCTCAGATAGAGAAGGGAGCACCAAATAAAGGGTGTTGGGAGGATCCTCCCAGGATGGGAGAAGCATGCTGAAAGTAGACTATAGACCAAACATGATTGCCACTCAATGCCTCTTTTGCGAACCACAGCACCCAAAAGGAGAGAGAACAAAAGGGAATGCCCTGCCACAGAGGCCTTAGGGTGGGATGGGGGGATGGGGGGTGGGAGGGATACTGGGATCCGTGTTGGTGGAAATTGGGCACTGATAGAGTGATGGGTACTTGATCATTGTATAATTGAAACCCAGCACAAAAATTTGTAAGACACCATGAGGTACAACTGTACCTCATGGTGTCTCACTAATAAAAATTAAAAAAAAAATAAAAAAAACATGCTAAAAAAGATGAAAAACTGATGAGACTTCCCATATTTGAGAATATATAGGTTAAATGTTACGTACCATTTAACCTATATATTCGTACTCGTTCTCTTGGAACTCTTTCCAGTTTATTTATAAACTGCTTCTAATAAAAATCTTGGAGAAACCTTTTTTGGGCTTGTTTTTTTTTTGCATTTGGGCCACATTCAAGCGATGCTCAGGGGTTACTCCTGGTTCTGCACTCAGGAATCACTCCAAGCAGTGCTTTGGGGATCCAACTTTGGTTAGCTGCATTCAAGGTAACTACCTACCCGCTATAACATCTCTCCATCATCCCTCAAATAAAACTTAATATGCTAAAACAATTTTATAGCTAATTTAGAAAAACATAAACAATACAGATGAACTTGATAGGACTAATGCTGGGATGGGAGCAAAAAGATGGTTTATATTTTAAATCTTTTTTCTGAAAAAAAAATATATATACATTTAGAACACATACCAAGGATATATTTGCTTTCAAATTAAAATTTTTTTTAAATTTTATTTTATTTAGCTTTCTTTTTTTTTTTTTTGGTCACACCAGGCAATGCTCAGAAACTTCTGGCTCTGCACTCAGGAATTACTCCTGGAAGTGCTTGGGGGACCATATAAGATGCAGGGATCGAACCCAGGTCAGCTGCATGCAAGACAAATGACCTACCCGCTGAACTTTTGTTCCAACCCTGTTTTTAAATTTCTTTCTCAAAGATATTAAGAGAAATTTTCTTTGTGGAATTTTTTTCGTTAACTGGATATATGGTTGGTGTTTATCAGGGTAGGAGGAGAAATGTAACACATTAACAAAATTTTAAATTTTAACAACATGCATTTAGAGAGATGACTTTAAATGATGGTTTAATATAACTATACATTTAACTAGTCCTTGCTTTCTTATAAGTAATGTATTAATAATAAGCGTTATTTTTGAAACAGTTCTGAATGCTGAATGGTATAAGATTTATAGAATCCAGTAAAATGTTTTAGAAGCATTAAGATGTAGGTTGGGATTTTTATATTGAAACAAGGTTTTAGATAATTGGGAACATTCATAAAATTATGGAAAATAAGCTTTCATTTATTATAAAAATAATAAGCTTTTATTATACTCTTTGATGATGTATGCATACTGTGTCATAGAATTTGCTGCAGTGAAAATTGGTTTATGGAACTGTTAAGACTGAAAGCAGAAAGTCCTGCAGGGAGGCCGCGGCAGGCCTTCCGTAAGTTGGGGTGAATTGAAGATGTGAATGGTCAAGTATGTTACTGTAACAGGACTGGGTTTTATAGATTGTAGTCAGGTCCTTGTGTGAGATTCATTTGAGAAAGTTTGTATCTATTAATTTTGCTTCCCCCCCCCACCCCAAGAGGTGGTGAGAACAACATGAAAATTAAGTCCAAGGGAAACTTGAGTACAACATTGTTGCTCTGGAGTATACAAAGTAACGGCCTTCTAGCCAGTGATGCTTAAAAATGTTGCTCAGGCTGTAATAATAGCAGGGAGGGCGCTTGCTTTGCATGGTTTACATGTAGTCCACTGGGACTTGATCCTTGGCACCCTATAGGGTCCCAGAGTCCTCTCAGGAGTGATCACTGTAAACAGAACCCGGAGTAAGCTCTGAGCACTGCTGGTGTAGCCCCCAAATAAAAAAATAATAAGAATAAAAGGCTGTTGCAGGGGACCAGTAAACTTGTTCTCTATAAAGGATATAGATGCTTTAGTTAGCAGGATTGTGTGTTTTAGTACCAAAGTAACCTAGTAGTGGAGAATGCAATTTCTACAGATAATGAAACCAGAGAGATAGTATGTTCAATGTTCTGGCCCAGAGACTTGAGGTAATATGTCCAGGGTAATTAAGAAACAGTAAGTTTTGTGAGGGGCTATGGATTGAGAGCAGTGGAAGTTGGTGATACAGATATTAAGAATTTTCTTTGTGGAATACAGTAAGGGGATATGTGAGATTCGAAACCAGGGTATCGCAGAAAGAGGCAGTTAGTCTTTTCAAAGCATTATATGGCAGAAAGAGGCAATTAGTCTTTTCAAAAATAAACTTTTTATAACATGGGAAGATTTTTTATTTATTTATTTATTTATTTATTGAATCACTGTGGGAAAGGTTACAAAGCTTTCAGGTTTATGTCTCAGTCATGCAAATATCAAACACATTTCCCTTTACCAATACTTATTTTTTACCATGAAGAACCCCAATAAAACCCCATCCCCCACCCCTCCCCGTCCCTGTGAGGCAGATGAATTCTAGTTAACACTCTATCTGCTTTGATTAGATTCATTGTTTCAATAAAAGATTCACCACTATTATTTAGAGTTTACCCCCCCCCCCCCCAATCAGACATGCTGAAAAAGCATTGTGAAGTGATTTGCTTTCTACGGCTGGGTTCAAGAATTAAATGTTGGTTTTGGATTTCTGCTCTTTTACCTATTGACCCTGGAAGTATTTCTACTGAAAGTCAGATAGTTAAGAAATTGGTTTCTGTGTTCTGGAGTCCTGGCCGTGCTGGAGAGCCGCTCGCGGGGGGCAACCGGTGGCCTCGGTACGGCGTGAAGGGCGGAGCGAAACGCCCCCCTTCCCATGAGGTTTTAGTCGCCCCCACACCCCCGGCTCATACCTGCTGTCCACAAGGCTCCCATGTGGCCGCCATCTTTCTTTCCAGAGGGAGGAGGGCGGAAGGGAGCAACACCCTTTCCCCTCTGGGCAGAAATGATTGCCTGGATTAACGCATAGTCCTTTCACTTTTCTGCTCCAAGCTGCTGGGTTCTGCATTAGGTCATTGTGCTTCTGGGGCTGTGGCTGTGCTGGAGAGCCGCTCGTGGGGGCAACTGGTGGCCTCGGTAGGGCGTGAACGGCGGACCAAAACGCCCCCCTTCAACATGGGAAGATTTTTAGATGTAGAAATTTAGTGTCAAGAAATGGGAGTAGAAGGTTGGTGAGATTTACTAGACAAATGTAGAAAATTTTGAAACCCGACTTTGGATTAGTGATTTTGATTAGAGACTCAATACTTGCTGACATTAAAACCACCAACACAGAGAGCTCTATGGGCCAGAGTCATAATTTATGCGAACAGAATCTTGGACAACACCGTTTAAAATTTCAGAATCTGGCATATGATTCAGTGGTAGAGCGTATGCTTTGTGTGTTTGAGGGTCCTGTGCTTGCTGGCTAGCATACAGGGGCAGGCAGAAATAGGATTGGGGGTCAGGATGGAGGGATGGATTTCTTGAAGTGATTCATATTTAGAGAGTTGGGAAATACAAAATATTATACATTATATTAAGATCTAAACAAAGCCAAGCATTTTAATGTTATGTCATTTGTGTATATGTGCGAAACATTTTTTCCTTTGTAAAAAATCTTGATCAGTAGTACTTAGAAAGATACTACAAATGGTCTTAAAATAAATCTCCATGTACTTTCCTATCTACTAGTGCTGAAAAGATAGATAATACATATTTAAGTATCCTTGGTTCCTCCAAAGGGGAAGGAACCTAGATTTCTTTTCTTCTTTTGAGAACATAGCATAGCACAACCCATGTATAGGTTTATTCCATTGGATTATTCTCTTATGTTACCAGATTTGTCAGCATGGCTGTATTTTGATTACTAATTTAAAGTGAGAAGATACCCTTCAATATAATTTCCTTTTTTTTTGCTCTTGGAAAATATCCATATGCCTTTTATGTTACATCGACATTTTATTCAAATAAAATTGCTTTAGTTTTCGCTATTGGGCCTCACCTAGCACTGTGTGTGCTTGTGGGGCAGATGAGGGGCTGCTGCTTTGTGCTGAGGAATTGCTCCTAATGTACACACAAGAGCCATGCCACGCTGAGGACTGAACTCTTGCCTGCAAAGAATGTGCTTAGCTGATTAATTTCTCTCTCTGGCCCAACACATAAGTTCTTAACCTTTGTGACATGGATCCCTTTAGCAGGTTGGTGAAGCGTACAACTCACTTAGCAAATAACTCAGCTCATCTAATGTTAGTTTTTTTTTCTTTTTTTTTTTTTATGTAGGAGTACTGCTCTTTATTCAGCCATTGATTAGGTTGATTGAATTGGGCATGAGCGCCACCTTTTTTTTTTTTCATTTTTTATAATTTTATTTATTGAATCACTGTGAGAGCAGTTAACAAAGCTTTTGGGTCCAAGTCTTGGTCATATAATGAAACACCCGTACCTTCACCAGTGCCCATTCTCCACCACCAAAAACCCCAGTAAACCCCCATCCCACACCCTCCCCCTACCAGTGGGGCAGATGATTTCCACATTACTCCTCTCTACTTTGATCATATTCAGTATTTCGACACCAGACCCACCATTATTATTTGAGATTTTACCCCAACACTCAGATCTGCTGACAAGGCAGCAGTAGACATTTTGTGTTCTATTGCTGGTTATGAATAACATATGATGTTGCGTGGCTGCAGTAGGGCCATGTGATTTTGAAATTCTGAAATTTTAACACTTAAATCTGGAGGGATTTCTGCCAAAAGCCACTGGGTTTTGAGACTTGCTCCTGAGCCTCTGGGATCATGGTCGTTGAGCAGCTTGATCTGGAGCCAGAAAGGCCGTTCGTGGGCGATGACTTGGGGTCTCATTGGGACGGGGAGACCAGGACCGGCTCCACCCCCATCCTGTGAGGCCCAACAAGTTTTGTCACTGCGGGCCCATACCTGACTGTCCAATGGCCTCTGGAGGATGACGGCCACTGAGCCACCAAGGGGGGGAGCAGGCGGAGGGACAACACCCTTTTTCCCCCTGGGGTGGCCCAGCAACAGTAACCTACTGCGGGGTCCGGACGCTTTTCTACCAAAAGCTGCTGGGTTTCGAGATTTGTTTCTGAGTCTCTTGGATCAAGTTCGTTAAGCATCTTGATCAGGAACCAGAGAGGCCGTTCGTGGGTGATGACTTGGGGTCTCGTTGGGGTGGGGAGGACAGGCCCAGCTCCCCCCCTCCCATCCCATGAGGCCCAACAAGTTTCGTCACTGTGGGCCCAAGCTTGACTGTCCAATGGCCTCTGGAGGATGACGGCCACCAAGCCGTCAAGGGTGACGGCCACCAAGCCGTCAAGGGGGGGAGCAGGCTGAGTGATAAGACCCTTTCCTCCTTGGGGTAGCCCGGCGACAGTAATGTACTGTGGGTTCCGGACGCATTTCTGCCAAAAGCCACTGGGTTTCAAGATTTGTTTCTGAATCTCTGGGATCATGGCCTTTAAGCAGCTTGATCAGGAGCCAGAGAGGCCGTTTGTGGGCGATGACTTGGGGTCTCGTTGGGGTGGGGAAGACAGGACCGACTCCACCCCCATCCTATGAGGCCCTGCATGTCTCATCACTGGGGGCCCAAACCTGACAGTCCAGTGGCCTCTGGAGCATGGTGGCCACCAGGCCGCCAGGGGGAACATGCCAAGGCACGAAACCTATTCCCACCTGGGTTGGCCCAGCACCGGTAACCTACTGCAGGGACTGGACGCATTTCTGTCAAAAACTGTTGGGTGTCAAGATTTGTTTCTGAGTCTCTGGGATAATGGCCATTAAGCAGTTCAATCAGGACCAGAGAGGCCATGCGTTAATTATATAGCTGAGCCGGAGGTGGTTTGTGGGTGTGTTTCCCACATACCTAACTTTTGACCGTTTGCTTTCTTGGTAAACTTTGCCCCAAGTTTTTGGGGTCTTGCTAAAGGCACAGCAGCAGTTTTGGGGTATCTGGAAGTCTGAAGGTGCCACCAGGCTGCTGATGTACTCACCTCACAGGTACAGATTGACCTGCTGTTGGCACCATACCCCCTAATGTTAGGGTTTTTTTTTGATTTTTTTTTTTTTTTTTTTTTTTGCTTTTTGGGTCACACGTGGCGATGCTCAGGGGTTACTCCTGGCTCATGCACTCAGGAATTACTCCTGGCGGTGCTCAGGGGACCATATGGGATGCTGGGAATCGAACCTGTGTTGGCCATGTTGGCTGTGTGCAAGGCAAACGCCCTACCGCTGTGCTATTGCTCCAGCCCCTAATGCTAGTTTTATTGCTGTTGTGTTACTTATTGTCTACATTTAGGTAAAGTTATTTTGTACTCACAGTTGATTTCAGGGATTCCCTGGAAGTGACAAGTGATACTGGAAATCAATAAAATTGTAATTCATAGATTATTAAAAGAAAATGTCATAAAATAAAAATGACCTGTTTAAAAACACTTGCTTACAACACTGATCTCGTCTAATGTTCTTTTTTTTTTTTTGTGCTGTTTAGGATCTAACCTAAGGCCTCATGCATAAAAAGTAATCAAAAGAGCATACATTTGTTGAGTATTTATTATGTGCTAGGCACCATGTCAAATGCTTTGAATTCTTTTTTTCAGTTATGTCTAATAGGTATAAATATTGATCTCATTTTACAAAAAATGAAACTACGGTTTAAGATTAAGATTGAGTAATCAATTCTGAATGTTGGGCTTTACATTTTTTTGGTCAAATCAGTTATATTGATAATGTCATATTTAATAGCTTTTAATTTTCTTTCACAATGTATTATTGATATTGATAAAAAAGACATTATGATTGCTCACTACCTGTTCTGTGGTTCTCTTCTTACTCTTTTTTTTTCTTTTTGGGTCACACTCAGTGATGCTCAGGACTGACTCCTGGCTCTGCACTCAGGAATCACTCCTGGTGGTGCCCAGGGGACCATATGGGATGCTGGGACTTGAACCCAAGTCAGCCGTATGCAAGGCAAATGCCCTCCCTGCTGTGCTATCGCTCCAGCCTCTCACTCTTTTCTGTTATTTTTTTGGTGGGGGGGGTCACCCCCGGCGATGCACTCAGGAATTACTTCTGGCGGTGCTCAGCGGACCATATGGGATGCTGGGAATCGAACCCGGGTTGACCGCATGCAAGGCAAACGCCCTACTCGCTGTGCTATTGCTCCAGCCCTCTTCTTACTTTTAAGAGTCAATTTTGTTCAACTGTTTCACAGTAGCTATAGGGGTTTTTCTTCATTCTGTTTCCCAGCTCCCATGATCACGATCACGGTCACGACCATCCTGTTATTCGTTGATTGCCTTGAGCAGGCCCCAGTAACGTCTCCTTAGTCCTAGCCCTGAGATTTTTTTTTTAAAAAAGTGCCATATTCAAGGCTCTTTCAGAGTTAGGAGAATGAGACCCATCATTGTTACTGGTATTAGGCATATTGGGTACGCCATGGGGAGTTTGCCAGACTCTGCCATGTGTGCAGGTTACATTCCGTAGCCTGCCAGTTTGTCCAAAGTAGAAATGAGATAATAAGATGTCGTTTCCGGGAGCTGGGTTTTATAGTCTCTGAGTCTTGGCCGTTGATGGGATTACACGGTGCCAGGGGGCCATTTGGTGGGTGTGACCCCCGCCTACTGGAATTTGGAGGATCTGGGTGGAGGATGCTCAGCCCCGATCCGAGTAGGCCTGGAGATCTCAGTCCCAGGACCCGTGTGCCTTTGTTCCTCTGCCGGAACCTTCATGTGTGCATAGAGTGGTCTCAGCATGGTGGTGTCTTGTTCTGGAGGTCTTCGACTGCTGGGGCCCTGGTTGGGGCAGGGAGGAAAACTCAACCCGCTCACCTTCAAGGGGTCCCGGCGAGGACAGCCAGGCGCGGGGGCAGGAGACTCCCAGCTCTCACATGAAAAGCTATTCTGCGTCCAGAACTTAAAATCATTAACAATGCGCTACTTTAGAAGTTAGCTGAAATTTTATATTTGTATTGTTTTCATGCCTATGAAGTTGTAACTGAGACATTGACTAGGGAGCTTGCTATGATTTCTTGAACCCTGGTTTGATCTCAGGCTTAACATATGGTTTCACTGAGCATCACCAGAGTGATCCCCGAGTGCAGAACTGGGTGTAACCAGGTGCAGAACACAGCCAGGTGTCACCTTCAAATCAAAAATAAAACAAAAGCAAAAGGTTTTTTCTCTTTCCATTTTTACTGGTGAAATAGCAGACTGTTTCCTTTTGGTCTTTACCTCTGTATTGCTTCTCTGTTTGCTGTTCTTTATACATAAAAACCTTGTATTTCTTCTGAATAGTGTATTTCAAACATAGCAGACTAAGGATGTATTGTTTTAAATGACTTTATAAAGTTTATAGGCAACTAGGGATGTTGCCACCGTCTCTCTGTATAGAATTGTAATTATAATGTATTTTTCTTCTATTATTGATTTTTGCATTGCTGCATGTTACTGTAAACATTTGACTTTTTTATTAGTTTCATTTTCTTTAATCTGTGTGAAGAGGTTACTATTAGTTATAATCATGTTTATATCATTAATTTTTTTTGTTTGTTTATACATTTACTCTGAGTAAGGATAAGAACTCCTGTGCTTTAAAAAATATTTTCTGAAACCAAATAGAGAAATTAGTGATTTTTTAAAATATATTTCTTTTTTGTCTGTTGTAGGATGGCTACCATAGAGTAGTTAATATTGTGCCAAAGAAACAACCACTGCTAGAGAGACCTGGTGAAGGAAGCTACAATAGATATTACAGTCACGTTGATTACCGAGAATACGATGAGGGTCGCAGTTTTTCTCATGATCGAAGAAGTGGTCCGCCTCACAGAGGAGTATGTAAATTTTCCCCATGTACTAATTTTTTTTTTAAGTCATGTAACTTCTGAAATTTATGTAATTGTTTGTGAAGACTGTTGAATAATAAACACTTTCTGCTGGACACTCTGTTGAATTGCCTTTTGGAGTTCTGAAATGGGAACTGGTCGTCAGAGACCTTGGGGAGGCTGGGCAGAATGGGCAAATACTCTGGAGAGTTTTCTCTGAATGACCTTAAGTGCACTGGCTTGCTTTGTATCCCCTGAAATAACAGAACTAGATAGATAATCTGTTTATTGTCTTTGTAATGAATAAATGATGAGAAATTTGCACTGACTGTATGTGCCCATTTATACATTTGTGATTATTCTAGATATTTATTTTCATCATTATGACATGCTGTGGGGGAGTTTGGATTAAAATTGTTGAGACTTGTATGTTAGCTGCTGTTGTCACTACTACTGTGTTATTTTATATTTCTTGATCAGCTTTAGTGATCAGAATTAAGTATTTAATGTTATGATAATCATTGAACTTGATTAAAACTATTCTTTGATATAATTCCTTTTATCTAACTTTTGCAGGTTGATAACATTCTTTTACTAAACCATTTTTCCCTAAGGTTTTTTTTTCCTTCCCCAGTAAAAAATACCTGTCAAAACATTGTTTACAATTAAATTTAACCATACATTGACCGTTGAAATTAGTTTTTGTTATGCATGAAGAAATGGAGGTAAGATTATTAATTGCTTTCATATATATACAGAAGCCCTCTTACCGTACTTAATCATAGTGACCCCTGATCATTGTAAAGTCATAATGATACTATTCAGTATTTTACTGTGTTTATTTTTAAAAGTTGGTGTTTTACAGCTTCCTTATTATTAGAGTTGATTTTAATTTTTTTCATTTTTTAAATATGCCATTTCTTTAGAATTTTTTATGTGTTGGAAAGCAAATATTGTGTCTGCATAATCTGTATTCTAGAAATTATAGAAGTCTGCCAAAAGATCTATTCTTCCATGTAGTCTTAAGGTGAAACAATGTGGTCTTTCATATTTATTTATTTATTGTTTTTGCTTTTTTGGGTTACACCCGGCAATTCACCGGGTTACTCCTGGCTCATGCACTCAGGAATTACTCTTGGCGGTGCTCAGGGAACCATATGGGATGCTGGGAATTGAACCTGGGTTGGCTGCGTGCAAGGCAAACGCCCTACCCGCTGTGCTATTACTCCAGCCCTATGGTCTTTTTTTTTTCCTGCTTTTTGCATCACACCCGGCAATGCAATGCTCAGGGGTTACTCCTGGCTCTGCACTCAGGAATTACTCCTGACGGTGCTCGGGGGACCATATGGGATGCTGGGAATCGAACCTGGGTTTGTTGCATGCCAGGCAAATGCCTTACCCGCTGTCCTATCGCTCCAGCCCCAGCCTTATGGTCTTTTAAATAGTTGTTATCCCTCTTATGAAAATCCCATTGCCATGTAGCATAGATAGGGAATTTGGATATTTTGGACTAATTTGAATTTGAATCCTCACGAACATGATTTTTTTCCTAAAACCTTTTAGTGCTTTAACAGTAATTTATTATTGTTACAAATTGTGTTTATCCTTTATATACTTTTTCTTTACATCATCTTCAAATAAGTATACCAGATCTCAGAACTGTCATGACACAAATTCTATTAAGAGTTCAGTAAGACTTGGCTGGAGAGGTAACACAATGGGTAGGGTGTTTGCCTTGCATGCGGCCGACCCAGGTTCGATTCCCAGCATCCCATATGGTCTCCTGAGTATCGCCAGGAGTAATTCCTAAATTCAGAGCCAGGAGTAACCCCTGTGCGTTGCCGGGTGTGACTCAAAAAGCAAAAAAACAAAAACAAAAAACACAATTGCTTGATCCGATCGTTTACTATTGATTCGGAATTTTTCTGTTTATATTATGTGTTGAGAAGGAAAATGAAGTAATTCACATGTTCTAATTTTTATATTGTTTATAATTGTAATTATTATGGGAGATAGGTGAAAAAATCTAGAAGAAGAAAGTGTGACTGTAGCAAGTTCTGTACTAAGCTTAAATCAGAACTTGGGTGAGATAACTTTTAAAAGGTTAAGAAACTTATGCTTGATTTAGGGTTCCAGAGAGACAGTACTTCAGTAGGACATTTGTTTGTTTGCCTTGCATGTGGCTGACCCAGCTTAGATATGGACCCTTGAGTCAGTCAAGAGTGATCCCTGAGTGCAGAGCCCAGGAGTGAGCCCTGAGCAGCACAGGGTGAGGCCATCCCCAAGGGAAAAAAATTTAGACTTTACAAAAATTAATCCTTAGTTTTTTCCACCAGCCTAAAATGTTGATAGATGTCTGACAATGTAAATATAATGTTTTTTGTTTACCAAGGAATTGTTTACTTTTAAGAGAGAACTAGTGACTCCACAGGTTCTCAGTCTATTGAATTATTTATTGAAACATAAAATTTGCTTCTTTGTTTTTTTCCACCTTTGAAGCTCAGAGAACTTAAGAAGGATGTTTTATATTCCTTTTTTGGGGAGAGACTTCGTAATTTTCAGTAATATTGCTAATTGGTCATACTTTGTAATATTTTTATGTTACAGGATGAATCTGGCTATAGGTGGACAAGAGATGATCATTCTGCAAGCCGACAACCTGAATATAGGTAATGAGATGGAAATAATGCCATATATCTACTTTGACAGAGTGGTAGCATAGTGGTAGGGCATTTGCCTTGCAAGCCGCTTGCCTGGCTGAACTGGGTTTGTTTCCTCCGCCCCTCTCGGGAGAGCCCGGCAAGCTACCGAGAGTGTCTTGCCCTGGCATGGTACCCGTGATGTATGCGATATACCAACCACAGTAACAAGTCTCACAATGAGGACATTACTGGACCTACTCTAGCAAAATTGATGAACAATGGGAGGACAGTGCTACTACTTTGACACTTGAAACACCAAAATGTCTATATTAAACATTTTTTTTCTTTCTTTTTGGGTCACATCCAGTGATGCACAGGGGTTACTCCTGGCTTTGCACTCAGGAATTACTCCTGGTGGTGCTCAGGGGACCATATGGGATGCTGGGAATTGAACCCGGGTGAGCCGCGTGCAAGGCAAACGCCCTACCCGCTGTACTATCACTCCAGCCCCTATATTAAACATTTTGAAAGCATTAAAGCATTGCAAGTTTTGGTGACTAATATAAAAATTGCATTTATAGCTTTCTGTATTGCAAGACTTTTGTTGTTACTGTGTTTGGCATACCTTGTAATTGATGAAATATTTTTAAGATATTTGAACTGTTCACAATTCTTCACATTTATAAATTATAAATGTCTCGTATAGACTATAATTGCTTAATTAGAATATGACATGTTTAGCCTGAATATATCTGAGTTATTACAGAATGCTTCCCTTTTTTATTGATTTTGGGCAACACTCAGTGGTACTTAGGGCTCACTCCTGCCTCTGCATTCAAGGATCATTCCTGACAAGGCTCCGGAATCATATAGGATACTGGGATCCAGCCTGGGTGGGCCGCATGCAAAGCAAGCGCCCTACCACTGTACTATTGCTCTGGCCTGTAAAAGTGTTTTATTATTTAAAAAATTCTTTCAGTTGCTTTTTTGTGATCATTTACGTTTTGTAGGAAAGTGTGTTTTTGAACGACCTTAATCATGATTAGTTTTGTTACTTGGAAATACAAATAAAATAGTTAGAAAATGAAATACTGACAGGTTGGCTGTTGTTGTTTATAAAATGACTTTACGATCATAGTGTTAGACATACAAAGAGGAGCCTTTTAAAAATCTCTTGGGGCTGGAGAGATAGCACAGCAGGTAGGGTGTTTGCCTTGCACGTGGCCAACCCGAGTTCGATTCCAAGCATCCCATATGGTCCCTGAGCACCGCCAGGAGAAACTCCTGAGTGCAGAGCCAGGAGTAACCCCTGTGGATTGCTGGGTGTAACCCCCCCCCCCCCCCCCACCACAAAAAAGAAAGAAAAAAATCTTTTAAAAGTTGTCAGAAAAGAAATCTGTAACTTAATTAAGTATAAAAATAGTAGGATTCAGTGAATCAGAGAAAGGAATTCCTTACTGCATTGCATAAGCAGAATCATTAGCATGATAGCAGCAGGTACCTAGCCTGTAAGTCCTAGTGGGTGGTGTAATGGTTGGGAGTAGTGACACAGCACGCAGTGGAATGCACTGAATTGAAGAATCAGGATTAAAAATTTAGTTATCTTTTATAGAAAGTAGCAAACCTGTTTTCCTTTCCTTGTAAATGGTGAACTGTTATACAGTAGTTGCACTTGGACACCTTGGAACATTGTTTCTCAGCCTGGGGCCAGATTATCCCCCCACCATACCACGATGTTCCAAAGGCACCACAGGTGAAATCATTTAGATGGTATGTGTGGGGGGGCAATGGCAGAACAGTAAAGGGTCAGCTGGTGGAACAGAGTTTATGGAGGGTAGGTCAGAAGGAGGCATAGTCAGTAAAAGGTTGAGTGAGATACACTGGTCTAGATGAAGAGCTCCATTATACAAATTGGTTAGTATCAGTGATAGGTCTTACATTTTGGTATTTATGGTAGAGATATGTAAGTATTTGGAACTCAGAACAGTTCTGCCTTTTAAAAAAACTCAATAGAATTGATGCTAAAAATTACTGCAACATGTAACACTTAGTAATTATAAAAATTTATAGCCAACTTGAAATGAAAGGTTTATGACACTGTTGCTATTTGATTAAAATTAGAGTAAAACAGTCTTGCCTATTATCTTTACTTTTATTTATTATAGTAATATAGGTGTCAGTCTTCAGAAAAAAGCAGGAAAATTAAAGGCTTAAGGGATAGAATGAAAGATAAAAAAACAAAAAATGGCTTTCAGATGATGTAATTATGCAGAAAAATTAAAAGTGTTTACAGATTATTAGAACTATTAGGAAATCAGCAAAGTTCATAACAATAAAATCAGCAGTGTAAAATAGAAAATGTAGTTAAAAAATATTGTCTGTAGGGGCTGACGTGATAGTACAGCTGTCCTCCCGTTGTTCATTGATCTGCTCGAGCGGGCCCAGTAACGTCTCCATTGGAGACTTTTGTTGTTACTGTGTTTGGCATATTGAATACATCACGGGGAGCTTACCAGGCTGTGTCGTGTGGGCGAGATCCTCTCGGTAGCTTGCCGTGCTCTCCGAGAGGGGGAGAGGAATCGAATTCGGGTCGGCCATGTTGACTGCGTGCAAGACAAACGCCCTACCGCTATGCTATCGCTCCAGCCTGATAGTACAGCAGGTAGTGATAATTGCATTGCAAGTAGCCTACCCAGGTTTGATCTGTTGTACTACCCATGTTTCCTGAGCCCAGCAGGAGTAATCATTGAACACTGCCAGGTGGTGTGATACCTATAAAGAAAAAACTTCAAGTAATTCTGAAGGACAGAAATATACCATAATCTTAACAAACTTAGAATGATGCTCTTGGTTAGTAAGAGAGAGTACTTAAAAGCTGTTAATTTCTAGATTCAGGCATTTTTCTGGTATTGTTTCACTTTTGTGAAGTAAAATCATGTATGTGACTCAACCATAACTATGCTAACAGGTTGATGTATGATCTACTGTAATTTTCTGTGTATTTGCAAGCATTTGAGACTTTAGTTAACTAATTTTAATAAGATTTTGTTATGCATATTTTTCTCAGAGTCTTGTGGAAATCTCGCTAACTTATTGGTATAAATTTAATTGCAATTTTTAAATGACGGAGTAATATTTCATGATATAAGTATAGAATATAGGGGTTTAGAATCTAGAGAGATAGTATAGAGCTTATGGCACTTGATTTGCCTGCTACTAACCCTGGTTCCATTCCCAGCACTGTGTGTGGTCCCCTGAGCACACCAGGCAGCAAGGAGTAAGCCCTGAGCACTATCAGTGTGACCCCAAAACAAGCATTTAGATGTTCATATATATGTTTCTAGTATAAGTGGTGCTATAACCCCGACATAGAATGCGTTTGATTATTTTCTACGAATTCCCAACAGTAAATTTTCTGAGTTAAGGGGTGAAATTTCTATTTGTATAAAAAAAAATATATACAATTAATATATGCTTAGAATTTTGGTTTGTTTCTTAAATAGTTATATATTTATTTAAATTTTTATAAAGAAATACAACATTTTATTTTGAATATTTATTTTTGTTAATGTAAGAGTTTTAAAAAATTCCTTTAGTACTGCTAAAACTGTACCATTATGCTGATATTAGGAATTTATTAGGGATTCTTACTAAGTTTATTGTAGTTACAACATACTTATTCTACTGTTTAAATTAATTGATCATTAATGGTTCATAAAAACAATGGGTTTTATGTTTTTTATTTGTTTTTTGTGGATGATTGTCAGAATCACCATCCCACAGTGACTGGGGTCCGTCCCTGTTGTGTTTGAGGCTGATGATTCCCCTCCCTCACTCCACCTGCTCTCATAGGTTATAATTTTGTAGACGTAGTTAAACTATGAGAGTTTCTCAGTCTTTCTTTGACATTTATGTACTACTGGTTTTGGTAAAGTGATTGTAGGCAATGATTTGAAAAATGTTTTTCATTTTTAGTTGTCTAGTGCAGTCTTTCTAAAGGGCAGATATGGAGCTGGAACAATGCGGCAGGCATTACTTGCCTTTAGTACAATTTGGGATGTCTCTTGGTTTGTTTTGTTAAAGTATATTACCAGGTAGATCCAGGGAGATAAATGTGGAATAAAATTGTATTTTTTTTTCTGCCTGAAAAAGAAGTGGAAGGCAGTGCCAAATAAATTTGGGAAATTCTGGTCAAATTTTTTATGATTAGATCCTTTTTGTGGGAATGGTTCCTAAATTAATGCTCTGTGTGTGTGTGTTTAATCTATTAAATACGTTCCTAAATTCTGCCCCTGCGACCCCCTCCCCCCATGTCTTTTGTCCTTTGATAAGAATGGCATCTAGGAAATTTCCTTAGTAGTTAAGAACATTTAGTTAGTAACTTTCTCTCCTCAGTTGCTGTTTTACGTGGAGATATGTTGGAACTATTGGGCTGGAGCGATAGCACAGCGGGTAGGGCATTCGCCTTACAAGCGGCCAACATGGCCGACCCGAGTTTGATTCCTCCGCCCCTCTTGGAGAGCCCGGCAAGCTACTGAGAGTATCCGATATGCCAGACACAGTAACAACAAAGTCTCCAATGGAGACATTACTGGGCCTGCTCGAGCAAATCGACGATCAACGGGAGGGCCTTTTATGTTGGAACTATGCCAGTCATCACCCCCATTTCATCCACTCATTTTAACGCTCAATGTTTCTTGCTGGAATTATTAGTATGATTTTTTTTTCTTTTTTGGGTCTCACCCAGTAATGCTCAGGTGTTACTCTTGGCTCTGCACTCAGCAGTTACTCCTGGCAATGCTTGAGGGACCATAAGGGATGCCAGGGATTAAACCCAGGTTGGCTGCATGCAAGGCAAACACCCTACACTCTGAAATATCACTCCGTCCGTATGATGGTTTTATAAATGAGTGGTTATATAATTCTTTAATTCATTCTTTATTATGGATGTTCTTACGTGAGGAAGAGTTTTCTCTTTTTTTCTCTCATGTTTAAAAAAACTGGAACTTTGCTTATTACTTTCTTTC